TTCCTTCTTTCTGCCCGGCGTGTCACTGCCTCGGCGATGATGTAACGTTTACATTACTTTATATAAAAAAGAAGAAAAAAAATATTGAACTGAAAACATTCCAAAATCAAAACAACTCAAACCGTAGCGTGAACATGACAAGAAGTGCAGCTGTTGCTCGCCCAGCATGCCACGTCAAGCAAAAGGCTATTGGATCCTCATTTATTCAATATATCCTGGAAGTCTGATTAAATACATGCGAAATATCTAGGAATTTGAATCCAGAACTGCCCCGCCTGTGTAACTACCAGCGTAAAACCCACACGTACAACAGCACCCAAAAAAATATGCATATAATTATCTCCCTGATTAAAAAAAAACAAGCGTGTGACTTACATTTCGCAAAATGAGATAAAGATTACATACGTATACCCTTTATTTCTTCTTATTATTATCCATCTTGTTTTTATCTCTTTTAATAGTTTTTTTTTTTTAGATACATAAGCAGGTGGCGTGATATTCGTTGTATATTGAGTAACGAAGAAAGTGATATGGAAGGGGTAGGAGCATGGAAGGGGAAAGGGCAGTATTATTTGATTAATGATGTTATCATTATCAGTATCATCATCATGTTATATCAGGTTATCGATTAAATAAAATGAAAGTCCTGACGATGGATTCTTGATAATGTATTCCCTAGAGAATATGATATTCATAAAAAAAAAGAAAAATGGGACCACTATGAATTACTGGTGGTTTTATATTCATGATTGCATGTAAAATATTTTTCCGGGTCTCTGAAAATATTGGAAGTTGTTTGACTAGACCTTTCTTCATAATAGTTGAGTAGCCTTGACCTATAAGGAGGAAAAGGACTAGGTTGTGGGTTGTTGTGGCCTTGCTCAGTCTCTCTCTCTCTCCTTATCTCGTCCTCTCTCTCTCTCTCTCTCTACCTCTCGTCCTCTCTCTCTCTCTTTCTCTCGCCCTCTCTCTCTCTTTCTCTCTCTCTCTCTTTTCTCTCATCCTCTCTCTCTCTCTCTCTTTCTCTCGCCCTCTCTCTCTCTCTTTTTTCTCTTCCTAATTCCAACACTCTACACCATCATCGCCTGGAGTGCCCCGTAGTGAAGGACTCACTACCCCGGGGACAAGATCTCATTTATGTTTGTATATATTTATCAAAAGGTGATAATTTAGATACTATTCCACATCCACATTTTGGTGGATATTAGCCATTTATTTTTTGTTTCTGTGTTTCGTGTGTATGTGTGTGTTTGTGTGTGTGTGTATGTGTGTGTGTGTGTGTGTGTGTGTGTGTGTGTGTGTGTGTGTGTGTGTGTTTGTGTGTGTGTGTGTGTGTGTGTGTGTGTGTGTGTGAGTGCGAGTGAGAATGTGAGTATGCATATTCATATATATATATGTGTGTGTGTATATATGGTACACAACGTGCCCTGCAAGACACAGCGATGCACCTTTTGTACTTCTCTGCAAAATTGTTTGTCGTCCACTAGACGCAATAAATTTATCGAATCAAATCAAAACTTTCTCTCCCTCTCTCACCCTATCTCCTCTTCTCTTTCTCTCTCTCGTCCTCCGAAAGAGAGCCAATGGACAAGCAATGGGCACAGGGACAACATATATACCCGAGTCCTTCTCTCTCCCTTATAGTTCCTTATAGGGACAACAACAGCAAAGAAAATAATACCGGTAATGAGTGTTGACAATTATGGACCCAACATCTCGCATTTAACTTGCTTTGCTGATTCCATTCCTCCTCCTCCTCCTCCTTCTTCTTTGTTGGATTTCTTGGCTATCAATCAGCGGCATATGGTCAAGGTTATCAAACCAATGAATCCTGTTCATTGTTTTAGTCTAGATACGGTCATAAGGATTTCTCTTTCAAAAAAGTGATCACTTTATCTATTTGTTCTCCTTTAATAGATCTGAGGTTATGAAATCGATGTTTTTGGATCTCAAGTAATTTTCAATTGTATTGTGACAGGATATTAGGATGTGGTACTGTGAGGTTTCTCGCTATATATGGGGACGAGGTGGGTCAGGTCAGTCCTGTAGCAGTGACCCTGAGCCAGGCCGACGCCACCTCCTCCCTTCTGATTTTCCTGTGGGCTGTGTTCCAATATTCTATGATGTGTTTATGTTTGTTTCTGATATATAGGCTGGTCCACTCACTCGGAAACAGATGGATTTTTGCATCTTTAAAGTAAACAAAACAGTGAGATATGTATGGACTATGCTAAGGTTCAGATTACCAGATGACCCGACTAATTTGTTTGCTAATTTGATATTAGCCATTTATTTTTTGTTTCTGTGTTTCGTGTGTAAGTGTGTGCATGTGTGTGTGCATGTGTGAGTGAGAGTGAGAATGTGAGTATACATATTCATATATATATATGTGTGTGTGTGTGTGTGGTGTGTGTGTGTGTGAGTGCGAGTGAGAATGTGAGTATGCATATTCATATATATATATGTGTGTGTGTGTGTGTTGTGTGTGTGTGTGTATGTGTGTGTGTGTGTGAGTGCGAGTGAGAATATGAGTATGCATATTCATATATATATATGTGTGTGTGTGTGTTGTGTGTGTGTGTGTATGTGTGTGTGTGTGTTGTGTGTGTGTGTGTGAGTGCGAGTGAGAATGTGAGTATGCATATTCATATATATATATGTGTGTGTGTGTGTGTGTGTATGTCTGTCTGTGAATGCGAGTGAGAATGTGAGTATGCATATTCATATATATATATGTGTGTGTGTGTGTATGTGTGTGTGTGTTGTGTGTGTGTGTGTATGTGTGTGTGTGTGTGTGTGTGAGTGCGAGTGAGAATGTGAGTATGCATATTCATATATATATATGTATATATGTATGTAGATATATATGTATATATACAAACACAATCATACACACACACAAACACCCACACCCAAAACTAAGAAAAAACTAAACTAACCTAAAGAAAAACACTAAAAGATTGAAGAGAATTTCAGTTACAGACAGACAAGTGAGCGTATTTTTTTTGTTGTAAATAACAAACGGTTTCAGTTCGTAAACTTCTGTACAAGATGCTAAACGTTTCTCACGACCGAACACACACAAAAAAAACCCGTTAAACTCCCACATTCATCACTTACGAAAACAAAAAAAAAATATTTCCTTTAAAGCAAGAAAATGCATAATAAAAAACTGTGCCCGATTTTATCATCCGAAATATATATCCTTTACGAATCAGGCAAAGTTGGGCCTCGATATATTAGATTCACTTAAAGACTAAAACTATTTGTTAAAACCTTACGACAGGTGAAAAAACAACAACATATAATTCATGAAACACACAGATATTACAACATTGTTTTTGAAATACTAGTACCAATGTAACGAGGTTTGCAACATTGCCGTATTTCGCATCAATGGTTAACAGTAAGAACAAATGAATATGCCAGACTTCTAAGGTCATACAGCACTATGATTAAGATACGGAAAAAAGGTAGAAATTCGTTAACAATGAGAGTGAGGTTAGATGTTTGCGAGGTTAAGTATTATAGGATATAGCATGGTAGTGAAGAGGGTAGTGGGGGAGGGGGGGAGGTAAGGTAAGGTAAGGGTTGTTAAAAAGGGTAAAGAGTTAAGAGTGATTATATGAAATGGAGGATATTTATGCGTCTGATGAAAGGTTGCAGAATCGTTAAGGATGTTCAAGTGAGGAATTTTAGATTTTGAATCCTAGATTACAAATTTAGCATTAGTATGTACTCCCAAGTAATTACATAGTCAGGCAAGGGCAATTATTTTCATTTATCCACGGAAAAAAAAGTGGATTGCTATGACGTGTCTATCATATTTTTTTCTTTCTCAATACTATCTATCAAATAATTCAATACTTTTCTCCCCAAACGATACACAGAACCAAATTTATCCCTTATTAAATGACTTAACATTCAACAAACTTTCAATAAGATTTTGCCTCTAGGTTTAGAGTGACGGTAAAGTGTTAAGTGTGAGGTTTAATAGTTCTATGTGTATGTAGCCACAGATTCTTATATATCTTACGAATGGGCCGATATTAATTCAATATGTTTTCCAACTTCAAGCACAATATTGTTTAAAGTTCAGCTTTTATTTAATCTTTAAAGAAATTGTCACGTTAACATAGGTCATTAGCGACGAAAACCCCTTAATCATAGCATTATGATAAAAATGTTGAGGCGAAAAGGGTAAATCTGAGTCAAAGATTAGGATAAATGGAGAAAAGGGGATTTAAAGAAGAGAAGAGATGAACAGAGAGAGAATAGAATCAGCAAAATCAGTCGAGGCAAAGGCTTTTCAGTCCAAGGCATTGGGACATTATTCAAAGGAAGCAAGGGAGGGATTGAATTATTTAATATTATCTGCCATCTGCTAAGGCCAATAGCGACATAAGGGACTGAGGGGGTGATATAATCCCAATTAAGGGGTTTTCTGCAACATTGAGCCACAGTCCGTCGGTTTGAGTCTTAAGGGAACTCATGGCTTCTTTCCAGGATTAAGTTATATTTACTCATACATTTATCTCTTAAGTTTTGAGTTCAAAGTCAATTATCTATATTGTATTTAGGTTTTCATACTTTCGTATTGTTTTAATAGGTTGCGTATGATTTCAGCCAATCTATTAGTTTTAATTCAAATACTGTCGTAAAAAGTTGAATTTATTTACTCCACGAACACGTGAATTTGAAATTTATTTTGTTTGGTATATGGTTACTTGTGGAAAATAATAGACTAATTACTAAAATGCCTTTATTTCACTTCAAAAGAAATTCAGTCTCACATTAGGACACGAATAGAACCAAGAGAAAATTCAAAATACTTTTGCTGAAAGTAAACAATTCACATGAAAATGAAATTTACGAGCCAAAGGAAAGCGAATTCTAACCAAAGCAAATTGTTTCACCACTTAAAAAGAAGTTTATTCACACGAAAATAGCTAATAATTCTGCAAAAAAAGTTCCTTTCAATCGACACGGGTTCTTGCTCA